TTTCTAGCCGGTCTTGTCGCTTGCTAATTCCTTCCATTTTCCCGTCAATATCACCAATCAAACGCTGTATTTCGTTCATTTGCTTTGTTTGGGCCACTTTGTGCTCCATTATAAGCTCAGTTTGCTGCTTCATCATCGAAAATAACTCAACAAAATTCTCATCACTGCCCGTGATACGTGTATTTTCTTCTCCGCGGTCATCCATGTCGTCTTCGTTGGTTTCCTCACTGTTTAATCTCGCTGCCGATCTCGTTGTCATTGGCATACCTTCTCTAAAGGCATGAAATATCCCACCACTGCCACCAATGTTGTGCCAGATTAAGCGAGATCGTGTCGAAAAAAAACCGCTACAGAAAAGTAAAACAACTTCGTACAAACACGCTTTATTTACTAAAGAAATCACACCAAATCGCATTAAAATCGTCCTTTTATACACACTGTCAATTTACATAACCTAATTAGTTTTCACGCCTATATAGTTTTATTGTTCTATTTACAAATTTACATAGTAACACACAATACACACATAACACACATAATAGTCATTTGTCCCAATTGTTCTCTGACCGGCACTACAATATTTATGTTTATTGACAGTTTGGTAACAATTATAAATGGTCTAAAAAGAAAAAGAATATTGGACACTGAGGCAGCATTACCGCCTGGATTTACTTAAACACTGTACTGCCATTGGACAGCTACCTGTACCGTTGTACCAATAAGGGTGCTGTTTTATAGTTGTTCTGTTTAAATTTTTCTGTTCAACACTGTACACTGTACATCATACAGCTACGGTCATTGATGCAGCATGTACTGTATTGGTTACAGCTTTATACTTATAGCTATCATGTTTAAATTGTCCTGTTCAACACTGTAGATCGGACAGCTACGGTCATTTGATATATTACATTGGGGACAGCTTTATACTTATCATAGTTATCATGTTTAAATTGTCAGTCTGTTTAACACTGTACATATCGGAAAGCCACAGTCATTGGATGTACTGATACTGACTGTATTAGGTACAGCTTTATACTTATAATTATTCTGTTGAACACTATACACACCTGACAGCTACGGTTATTGTACTTTTATATAGATTTGCTTTGATGGTGTGTAGTTTTATAATAATCTATCAGATTGTTTTTTCAAGACTGTTGATATTGGTTAGGGACAGGTCATTATTTATGGAAGGGGGGGAGGGGAATTTTTTCTTTTCTAAATTTTTAAAATTGAAAGCCCCCCCCCTCCCCTAAATGGCAGAAATTTAATGATGGCCCCCCCTGCATATTAGAATATTTTTCTTTGACCCCCCCCCCATTTTCATTTTTACTCGTCAAATGGGGATACCCAGGCGTTATAGTATTAATTATTAAATAAGAATATGGAACTGGCAAGATATTAACGTCGACAAAAATATATATTTATTAGCAGAAAATTATAATTAAAAGAGGAGTATTTTTATATATAACACAGGTTTCCATTTGGTCTGGGCGATTGTAACCATGTTTAAGGCTGCAACTGGACTTGATGGTATGAAGTATTGCCATAGCAGCTGCGCGGCAACAATGAGAGCAACAATCAGTAAAATTAGCAGCAAAATGAGATAGCAATGACAATTCTGCAAAGGCATACCTGCGAAATACAATGTATAGTGGTCTATACATCCTATTTTATGTGAGATTTAAAATTATATAAAATAAAATGACATATACTAGCTACCAGATAAAATCTTTTAGAATGAACATGGGTGGGTGGGTCGGGAAAAGGTATCGAAGCGCAAAACTTGCTGCAGCTAGGCAAAGCATACAATGGTAGAATGAATACCCAGACCGAAGCACTGATCACAAGGCATGAAACAATCCCCTTTGATCGATATGACGTCACAGATTCCCCGAAGCGGATGTGGCCTGCATAATACAAACGCCGTTAACCTTGCTTAATTTAAATGTATTTAACCACATCAAGAGCTGATGTAATAATACATTGTCAATTTAACTAGTCTGCAATCCGTAAAGACTGATTTGTATACTGCATACAGCACACACAAGACAAGATGAATCCAGACTATTTCACATCAGTGACCATGATTTAGTTGCAACATTTACAACCAAATGGATACCAGGTTATTAAGCAAATTCCTTCAAGTTTAATTGCAACACCCCCTGTCATTTTCTTGAAAAAATTTAATAGCCCCCCTTCTAGTCATTTCTACATATGCCCCCCTTATTTTTTCCTCCCCTCTCGAAGGAAGGCATAATTAATGACCGGTCCCTTATTGTTAAAATCGAGGATGTCGTTAAAATTAAACTGTTTAAACCTGTAAGATCTTCGGGAACATTTTATATTATGTCGTGTTTTACCAAATAATGTCCTTGCCCTTGCACGGTTCCCATTTGTAAAAAACTGCTGTAAATCATATCCCCCTTTAATTAATTTGATCTCATCCGTGAGTCGGCCTCGAAGGCCTTTGATTTATCTATTAATGTTACTTATTTATTTAATTAAAATAAAGGAGCTGACACCCCAAAATAACCATAAGGCTAAAAGACTGGGGGCCAAGTAGCACAATTAATCAACAATTGTAAGATTGATCTTACAATAATTACGATTTTTTAAAGCATAAAGAAAAATGAGAAATGTAAAGAAAAGACAATCATTTTTAGGAATAAAGAAAAAATTAATACTGATTAATAAAAGCAGCTTTAATTTTTCTCTTAAGTTGTAAAAATGTCATCTGTTTATCAGCTTCACTCAGCACAATATCAGTAAATCACTCATGTATTTTTAATATAGTCAAAGGCAAACATCAGACAAGTAAGAAATAACTAAATAATTTTAAAATGTAAAATGTTAACAACAGAATGTCAGAATTACAATTGCAAAATTTACAATGTTAACAAATATTCGACATGTATTTATTTAATTGCTGTAATATTGTCAATGTCTGGGCTGAATCAGTAATACCACGGTCAATAGAACCACAGAGTACGTACATAGTACACACAGATGTCTCAGTGATTCAAGTTAATTTAGCGTAAGGGATTTTTCCAGTATACGCCGTGTTCTTATAGGAAGTGCCCTAACGAGAGGTAGTCAACCCCCTGAAAACATATTGAAATTTAATCTTCCAGGGCCTCTTGCTAAGAACATGGCCACCAGCTATTTTGGTAAAAACTACCTTTTTTAATTATTATGGTTTTCTCTCAGAAGTGAGACCTCTGTATGTAAGTACTCTGTGATAAATCTGAGAGGTAATACGTGACTACCAAATATAAACATTAAGTTACTATTTTAAAATATTAATATTAATAAAATAAATAATTTGCCTTGTGATTAATTTCGCCACACTTTTACGCTTATTTTCGCGAAAACAATGTAAATAAATATTTTAGGGTCTTCGTTTTCGTAGTACGAAAACAAAGATAGGTTTTCGTTTTCGTAGTGGGTCTTCGTTTTCGTAATTACGAAGACCCATCTTAGGTCTTCGGTCTTCGTTTGTGTAGGTCTTCGTTTTCGAAACACCCAGCGAAAGTGACATCATGCAAATTACATGAAGATTGAAGGGCTTAATATTTTTAACGCCTGCGAGAATAATTCATATGCCTGCAAAATGCGTAATATTTTAGGTTTTCAAAGCTAAATAGTAAATATTGTTAAAAAGTCAGGATTGTACAACCTCGTACCCAGGGCTTTTTGCTTCCGCGTTTGGATGGTCAGCAAAAAAGGCCCTGGCTTCGGCTGATCTGTTTTGCACCTGATTGGTCAATGATTTTGAATGTAATTATTCAATATATGTGGGAAAATTATTATTTTGGTGGAACGAGAGTGGAGTAACAAATTTATAATTAGTTCTTGAAGGACGAAACTATTGAGCAGATAAGATTTTTGACATTTCGCTTGAGATACAGCATGAATTAGGGAAAGATATACATCACAAAACAATTTGGTCCAAATTAAGTCTTTGTACATTTTGTATAAACGAGTATTTGCTTCGGTTCAACATACATTTCTCACATGCGTTGTTTACACATCGTTGATTTGAAGAAACGTACAGCGTTATAGTCATGCAAATAAAGATTGTGATACGAATATATTTGCTCATAATAAACACGATTTATATAAACCAAACGCTGAAGCGGTTTTGTTTTGTTTAGTTACTTATTAAGTTATGTTTAAAAGTCATCAATATTACGTGATATGTTGCTGAATGAGCTGTGAACAACAAAAACCGAATAAGGGCCGGACCATTATATTTTTGATGGGGGGGGGGGTTGTGCATTTTCCACACTGCTCGATATTTTTTTTCGTCCTTCAGACAAGCAGGATATTTTTTATTACCTCTGTGTCCTTGCACGATATTTTTTTTCTCTCAACTTTCAAAATCAATATAATCATTATATGTATTAAATATGCATATTTTAATATGCATACTTCAAAACTGTAATAATATATAAAAATAATAAAATGCTAAATTCATCAATTGGACATTTTAAATAGTGAATTTTCAAATATATGTTATTAAAATTGATGTTTGATGTCTGGGGTTGTTGATCTTCCTGTTGAATTAGAAGTAGAAGGCAAGGAGAATCAATTGAAAGCATTTCTTAAAAAATTATCACTCGAAGACAAGTTTAAGAATTTCCAGTCAAATTGTTTGAGTCATATTGAACACCTACAGGATATTCATGAAAAGGATATTGACATGTCAGTTGACAGTATTTGAATGGAGATGACTTCAACGTGAGATCACTACTTGGAGAAGTGAAGAAGAAAGTGCGAAAATTGGTAATGCCAAAACAAGTGTTGCTGCATTCAAAACATCTTCGGCATCTACAGTCATATCCTTGCCCAACTCTTTGAGTAATTTCTTTGGGACACGAGATGGACAAGGGAGCATAGTCGTCTCTATTGAATCCTTAAAGAAAAAGTACAAGGCTCTATGGTATGAGAATCCTGTCAATCCAACTCAAATATTCTCCAACTCATTTATTCTACAAATGGCAGAACAACGAATGCAATTTGAGAAGACCCTCTGTAGCTGTGAATTTTGGTGCAGAAAACAAAGGTCAACACGAATTTATTTTTTGCTGGCATTGGCAAAAACACCTGTGATTTCAACGTGGAATCAATACTACAAGTCGCAAAGTTTTATGGGAAAGTGTGAAATATTAGAAAGGCAACACCCTGCAGTAGCATCATTTTTGGAAAACAGAGTCAAAGAGGAATCATCCAATGTGCCATCAAAAGCCATGTTTGAAAATATCTGCCAGTATGTTGCAAAACTTGAAGAGGTCAGCACCTTTTCAACCAATACCCTACAGAAGTAGCTAGATGGCTAAATGCAGCCCTGCTGGAGTACCCAAAAAAGGTACAGTAGTTTCCACTTTTCAGAAGAGATGATAGTATTTTTATAGTAGAAAATAGACATATATTAACACACAAATTGGAAATGTTAGCCATATAGGTTAATACATTTATACATTAATCTCGAATCAGGACTTGGGGTGCGGAGAAAAATTTAAATTGGCTTCTGAACTTTAATAGTTGCTTTATATGCACTTTAATATAGGTTACAAGGATGAGTTGGATTTCCTATCAAAGAATATAAGACCTCGACTTATTGAGATCGACACATCCATCAAAGAAAAGGCACAACAGGCTCGTGAGTGAGTGAATGGATGCAGCCAGAGAGAAGCATGGGTATTCAATTGCGTGCAAAAGTGCAAAGTGGAAAAGAAAAAGTGGAAAATCAAGCATGTCCGCACGTGCAAGTCAAGCCAAGGATGGTGATTATAAAACAACTACACTGATTAATGAAATCAGTGATTCAGATTCAGAATCAATGTCAGAGGAGCAAGATTGAAAAACTGTTTGATATATACATTTGTTAATTGTTTTGTTTGTATTCGTGATTCCTATATTAATATATAAACAACTATATACATGTACATATATTTATCTGCTATTGTTGTTGCTATTTTAAAGTTGTTGTTGGTATATAAAATGAAAAATTATGTCTATTGATAATAACAGAGTATATACATTTAATATAAAAAATATTATATTCGAGCTATTCTGATATTCTCACAAAAACGTTTTAATTCTAGTAGCCAAATTTTAAAATTTCAAAATTTTACACCCCATTCTGCTCGCACGTACGCTTTATTTCTTTGCACATGATGGGGGATCCATGCATGAGATCCTGAAAATTGAGCATGTGTCATGTGACAATATACCACTAGAGATTTGAGGAAATTTTAAAAATATTACAGGTAAACTACGTGAAGCGTTCCTCTTTTGTGATTCTAAATTGATTGCAATTTTCCTCATTACTTTTGCAATTTGAAAAACTCCCTTGCAAATCCCTTGAGGAAATTTGCAATGTTGCTAACAAGTTCCTAACTTCCTGTTCTGTTCTGGGTGTTGCAATTGGCTAACAAAAATAATCGACCAATAACAACGCACAGAACAGAACAAGTTAGGAAATTAAAACAGGAAGTTAGGAAAATTTAAAATGAAGTTTGGAATATTGCAATAGCCGATAGGAACGTTGCAAATTCCCTTAAGGGATTTGCAAAGAGTATTTCAAATTTTCAAAGCTAATGAGGAAAATTCCAAATGAGTTACGAAGTCAAAAGAGGAACGCTTCACGTAGTTTACCTGTAAAAGCCAAAAAGCCAGCATCTTCTCTCTGACGCCCACACTCTAGATTTCAGCGGTAATCTTTGCCAAAGCCAGGGATATATATTCATGTCTCGCTATTAGGGTTAGCGGTTAGGGTGGGGATTAAGGTTAGCATTATAAATAGCGAGACATTAATCTATAACCAAAGCCAGGTTTGCAACCACGTCTAACGCATTTCACATATTTTTATATGACTCTTCTATTATTTAAAGTCTTTTATTAAAGTCAAATTGTTATAAAAATAATATTTAATTAAAAGGTTATACATTATGGATTCAGGTTAATTTCTTCAAAAGGCTCTGCGGAGGAGAGACTTCTGACCGCAATCACGAGGGTGGAAACTTGGATGGTGTGCTCGATATTTTTTTCGTGCGCATTTGTCCTGCTCGATATTTTTTCGTAACAATAAGTGCTTGCTCGATATTTTTTTTTGGATTTACACAACCCCCCCCCCCTCCATCAAATATCTAATGGTCCGGCCCTTATTGAGTATTGTTAAAATAGTTATTAAATAGGAAAATAAATAGATCTTAAATAGCTATTTGATTTCTATTCATAGAAAGTTGTGGCGAGATTTCTTCAAATGGCTATTATAAATAGCTATCTTTAAACTATGTTTACTTTTAGTTTTAGAGCTATTGTTAAAATAGCTAATAAATAGCAAAATAATTAGATCTTAAAAAGCTATTTATTTCCTATTCATAGAAAGGGGTTGTGAGAATTGAGGAAGGGGAAATGTATTTATTTAACTGGTCAAAAATTACCAGTTTGAGTTAATTTTAAATTTTTTATGGGTTCATTGAAATTATATTTACAAAAATATTTATAGTCTTTGTGGAGGTAGGCATTTTGTCTCTTGACAAAACACCACCAAAAATTCTCACGAAGAGCGCGGTTTTGACAGACTCACAGACTGGTGCCTAATTTTCCAACAACGCGCGCAAAGCTTTCTGGGATAGCGTCACGATTCACACCACCATATTTAAAAATTTTTGGGTTTAAACTTTCCGCTCGAAATACTCAAAAAACAGAGCATTTATTGAGCGAAAGTAATACTTATTTAAAAGATTAAAGATCAGGAATGACTGGGTAACATCCAGGTAAGAATTTTGTTATGTTTTATTTATAAATAGAGCAATTTTGAAAGGAAATATTTACTATCTTCGTTCGTGAATTTTGAGCACATGTTCCAGCTTAAAATTTCAAGTTGCTTCGACAATATTTGAATTAAAACAACATTAGTTTTATAGAAGGCTTACATTTGACTCAGCCTTTATATTAAATGTTGTTTATTGTAATGCCAAATAGTATACTTTGACCTTTGTGTATGGTATATATGACACATTGCCAGATTCCAGTGTTTCTTGTATAAAATAATATAGCTTGGCATCTACTCAATTCTCATATGCCTACCCAGGCATGTCCCAGCTAAACATGGTTTGAGAAAATTTATCGACTGGTTTCAAATTAACTGGTACTTTCATAAGTTTCCAATATTTATTCATATATATAGGTGGGTTAGTTTAGAATAGATCAAAATATCAATTTGATGTGTTGTTGTCATTTGTGGCAACTTGATTATAGACATGTCCCTAACTGAAAACAGTTAAAGTCTTTAGTTTGCTTGTTAAAACTTATGAATACATTTAGTTACACCACATGTCTTCATGATCTGCTTAATAATATATGTAACAACCTTTGGGCTTCATTTTATATATTTTAGAGACACCCCGGCAAGGGTTTGATTGTTTTTGGAATTACCCATTTCACTCCAATGAGCCCAATATTCAGCACTTTGTTATTAAATGTTATCTTGCCTAATGCCGGACAATTTTATTTGTAAAGTGAAGTGTCTAGCTAGAGTGCTAGACTCTGCCCATGTTTC